CTGAATGGGGAAAAACAACAAGAAGTAGTAACAAGAAGCTACTAGTAACAGGTGCATCGCTAGTAGTAACAAGTGCCTTACTAGTAGTAACAAGGAAGCTCGGCTCCCGCACTGTCGCGGTCCAGCAGGTCCCACACCTGATCGAGCCACTCGGGCCTGGCGAGCGCAAAGCGAAGCGGGAAAAGAAAAGAGGAGATCTTCATTTGAAGGGGCTCAAAGCCTGGGGGTGAGTTGAAAACGCCTGGATTGTGAGGATGGGATGAGGGGGAAGATCCTGTTGGAAATGCTTGGTGCTTGTAGCATTTAGCTAGTGATGCCTTGGATGTCTCTTTTAAGGTAATGACTGTCCATTTTATATAGGGAATGATCGGTTTTGCAAAGGTTATGACAGGGGAGTTCCCTTGATTGAAAAACACAAAAGCAAAAGAGGCCCAACGTGGAACAGCATCTGCCCCAAGCTACTCACCTGCAAACAATGTGGGAGCACTTGGATGGTTTAAGCACATCAGCTTCACCATCATGTACATCACCCCTTAGCCCTGTAGTCCCGCAGTCTCCCAAGAATGTCCAGCAGTCAACCAACGCCTGCTATAGTTGCTATAGGAGATTGCAAGCCCTGCAAAAGCCCCACCCACATGTATGGTCTTTTCCACTGACTCAGTTTTTTGCCTGCAGAAGTCGATAAAGGGCGGGCCGGTGTCCAAGTCACCCTGGATGAACCTCAGGCAGTCTTGCAGGTTCTGCGCTGGCACCGCTTCGAACTCCTTCCCCTCAGCCCTCCCGCGGCTAAAACCGCGACGGTGGCTGCTGCTGGAAATTCTGAAATCATTCATGCCCTCCTACAAGTATACAAAGCTCAACGCATCTTGGGGTGATTTGGCAATAGTGGAATCAAAACTCAATGGCACGGCATGCTGTTCACTGCAGACGAGGATTGCTCTGTTCCCCACCTTTAAGCCTTGAACAACCACCCGGGTGCCCCCCTCGTCCTCGTGTGCCCCTCTGCTCTCTCCAAGTGACTCCTCTCGCGAGACCTCTCCATTGCCATTGATGTCCAGCCATTCCTCAGACCCCAAACAAGACCCAGACCCGGGTGCCGACCCTCGGCGACGACCACACCTGACTCGGCGACGACCCGGAAAGCGACCTCGTGGGTCCGATTGGTTCGACCACCTCGGTGAGTGCCTGAGATCCAGACCCAGGATTCTTCCACTCCTGCCATGTCACAAGTCACAAGCGGGCAAAACACCACACCTGTGAGTCATCAAAACGAAAGCACCCCCACATGCAAATCGTACTATGCAAAGCCCCCCCCCCAAAAATACAAGATTTAACATGCTCGTACGCGTATATCAACAGCTCAACGCAAACTGAAACGGAACATGGTATGTTTCCGCTGGTGTGTTTCAGCTCTCAGGGAGTCATGGTATGTCATGGTTCAAAACTCATCCCACCGTTACGGCTTGTTGCGGCCACATCTCCCGGCCACGTCCCATGGAGGGTTTGGGACGACCCAACCCTTGAGCATGCTTTAGCCAGATTTGATCCGAATGAATCCTACCGAACTTTGATTAGAGACAGGTAGGTAGCAGCTAACCACTTCCTTACTTACTTGAGGTGCAAGGTCCAGAAACATGTAAAAGGCCTTGGAGCGGCAGTTTAAGCTTAATGATGGCTCTCACGACTTCCTGTAGCAAATTCACGAGTGCAAAGTTGAAATCCAAATTGTTTTAGATTTCATGGTAGGTTTAGTTCAACAAACATCCCGGCAAAGGTGGAACCCAGGATGAGCATGTGGAGTTCCATGCTGTTCACATATGACCAAAATTACGTGTCATATTCATATGTCTGAATGTATATGTAATATATATATATGGTTATATATATAACGACGGCCTGAAACTTAGAAGGTAGGAAAATCGCCACTTTAAAACAGTAGATAAATTTAGAATGGGGGGTCTTGCAATTACAGGCTGTTTTGAAATACCATGGATATATCGCTATATGGCGCCATCGCTATATGTATATAGACAAACCCTGCATCTGAACAGCCTAGAAGAGATGGCTTCCAATCTACTAGCGATGGCCTTCAACCTAGAAGTAATGGCCTCCAATCTACTAGCGGTGGCCTCCAACCTAGAAAAGATGGCCTCCAATCTACTAGCGATGGCCTTCAACCTAGAAGCAATGGCCCCCAACCTAGAAGAGATGGCCTGCAATCTACTAGCGATGGCCTCCAACCTAGAAGGAATGGCCTAAAGGAAGGTCGCGCCGCCGCCTTTTTTCCACTGTCTGTCCCTGTTTGTCCTTGTCTTCGATGTGTTTGTCTTCATGCAACCGAATTCCTGAGAAGGGTCGGTTGACCTCATATCTATCCTGCAGCGTTCTGCATTTGAAAAAGGTTGAACAGGCATTCTAAGTTCTGAAGTCCACATATTTGTGTAGTACTTGGAGCAATCTTGGTGTTTATGCTCCGGAACTGTGGAATTTCCTGCATGTTCCTTTCATGTTCCCTTCATTTCCAAAGCCAAGGGAAATGAAAGGAACCAGCTCAAAACACCATTGTTTCACTCGTTTTTGTTTTGCTTTTTGAATGCAATTGTCTGTAGAACACTACTTCAAACCAATGTCTTTCTCACTCCCGCATCGCTAATGTGTTTTTCTCTTCCACACAGTCTGTGGGTAAGCAACAACTCTCAATTGTAGCCACTGATCGGTGATTCTAAGTTTGCCTACTGTTTTTGAAAAAAAAACACAAGTTTGCCCAAAGGCATTCCAAAATCAACAGCCCCAGTCGCACTTTTTTGCAAATTATGGTTGCTGAACCATGTTGGATTCCAAAATGCTGGAAAATTTGCACTGCTTCTAAGTTGTTTGGCCCACTGAAAAAATGAGAGTTTTTTTAACTTCTTTCAAAACACCCCTTTAACTTAGAATGCGCCACTTTTGGGGCATGCTAAGTTTATTTTCCGGCACAGGAGAAGTGTTTTATAGCCTAAATGTACCAAACATGATTTAAGAGGAGGGTTTTTTCCCGAAACGGAATGGCACAAAAGTCATTCTTAGTTTCGGGCCGTCGTTATATATATATATATATGGGTCACATGATGATTCGCATTTCCAACCAACCTGAGGGTCTGTATTCTCATGTAATTTACATGTAGCACATCAGTGTATAAGCTACACATGTTGTTTCATGTTTTGACTGTCTCACTCTGGCGCCGTTCCTGTCCCAAACGCCGTTCCGGTGGTGGTCGTCGCCTCCGAAGCGTGTCATCAAATACTCGGCAAAGGTGCTGATCACCTCCTGGTGCGAAAAATGGACGGAGAAGCTCCGGACTGGGAGTCGTATTTTTGGACTTTGAGTGGGAGATGGGGTTTGGGACTTGTGGGCTCGAGCAAGAAACACTCCCAAACATCGCAAAACCATGGCAAAACCACCTCATGGCCTGGTTGGATGGTTGTTCTTTCGTTTCAGAAAGAAACTTGAGGTGAGTAACCCAACAAAATATATACTGAGGAAAAGCAAGCTCGTGGAAGGGTAAACTCCGCATCTGTGAGCGGCTCAGGGCATGCTTGCAAAGCATCAAGTTGGGGACCAGTGAAGGCTCTCACATGCCCAAACTTTCCGCATTTCCTTTTCTCACTGGTTTCGGTTGAGCTCCCTTATGCTCAAAAGCGTAGGCTTGACGTTTGCCCCTTCGTCGAAAGAACTCGCTTTGGATATCCTCCACCCCACAAAGCTCAAATGAAATGACTAGTGCTGGATCTACTGAGTGGATCTCCATCACCATCACGTTGTGTCATTTCTTTGGGTGGGGTGTGTTGGAGAGAAGTTTAGTAGGAGTCCTTCTTAAAAATACTTGCAGCCTGCCCCAGGTCGGGGATGCGGCATCTGCTTCGACTCATCAGCGGCTTATTATGCAAACCTGAGATTGACCTCACGAAGGTCTTCCAAATCCCAATCCTCGTTCTCTAGGTTGGGCTTCTGGTTCTGCCTGAGATGCGCGGAAGAAATCGGAAGAATGCTATAGAATGCTCTCACTGAAAGAGCACGAGTCAAGAGCAAAGTGCTTCGAGCCGGGAGGGCGAATCAAGCTGGCTCCACGCTTAGGGCATCCCACACCACCCGCTACAGGAAGAAAAGTTGCCAAAACTAGACTCCCAGTCGTTTTTGGGAGCAACACTCAGTCAAGTGAGTCACATCCTGTCTTCAAGTGTGCATCCTCACCATCAATTCCTCAATTATATATATATATATAGACGGGTGATATCTTTTTCCGCCCATATCTGGTCGCTGGGTTGTTCATGAGGAGAACTTGCCTGCAAGCCCTGGATCCGTTCCCCCGCGGCGTCGAGTCCAGGACTCAGGAATTATCACACACACCCAACTCGCCTTCTTCATTTTACCATATTCTACCCTTCCGTAAAGGGGATACCATTCGACCATTTTGTCAATCTTCGTCCCTTTATGGATGCCCTTCCCTCATGCCCTGAGCTCGGACCCCCCCACGTGTGGACCGCTTCTTCGTGAACCATGCCCGGCCTGGAACGGCGTGAGTGTGGACGCGAACGGGTTGAGTGTGGGTCCGCGGCCCGAGGTCCAGTGAAAAAAGGCACACACAGTGACACTGTGGGTCTGAAAGCATCCGAAAGCGCTAAACCCATTTAAACTTTAAACCGAATAAATACAACTGGAACATGAGGAAGTCCAGGCGCCGAGAGGAACCCTTGAGAGGCAGGTGCTGTCACTATCTTTCAAGTGGCCTGTTTTTCACAGCAAACAACTTCACGAAAAGACATGGCTAGGGACGTGCCTCCTGCAGCTACATTTAGATGAGGGTCAAAATGGGTGATTCCCTAAGACATCAAACATCAAACCATCAGAGTCTCTGACCCCCGAGCGGACAGATCGGATTCTAGGGGAAGTAGGCTGATGCCGTATTCTTTGGAAGGCAAATCTTTAAGATCCAAAATTTCACTGACACTGCTTTCCTATCGGCTCCGCTAACTTCCCCGCACGCCAAAATTGCGTATCTTTTCCGCAGGCGGCTCAAGGCGCAGTAGTTTTGCTCACCTCGGCCAGGTCTGTCGTTGGAAACCGGAGATTCAAATTGTTGAACTCAAAACATGATGGTGATGAATGAAAATGATTAAGCACTGTCCACCTCAAGAAGTGGGAGGAAAACCAACCATGAACGTTTTGGATACTTTTTGGATAACTAAGCTGACCAAGTACGTTAAATTGTGTTAAACCAACAAGTGGCCAATAGTTAAGATTGAATGTTTCAGTTCAACCTTCAACACGTATTTTATACGTTGAACATACAAGCTAACCTTCGCCTTATGGACACCGATGGGACCTCTAGCACGACGGACGACGGAGGATTATCTCGCAACTTGCTGACAAAAAACTCAGCCGCAGCTTGGGCCAGTTCCATTCATTTTCTTAATAGCCGCGGGTGGGACCCAACAAATAAACACTCCACATGAAGGGAATCACTCAGGAGGAAGGAGCTGAAGAGATTCCAGGATCCGGGTCGATGTGTATCTGTTTGTGAGGAGCATGACTGCGCCAAAGCTCTTAGAGCATAAACATCACCATCCAGGATTGGTTGACATTGGTAGACCACTGCTGACAGCAAAACAGCAGCAAAACAAACATGAGTGTCTAATATTGTCTAATATCATGTTTGAGTGTTCCATTGATATGGAGATGTCAGGCGCCCCGTTTTTTTCAGAGTTCAATCGCACAAAAGAACTTCACCAAGTAGAGTAACGAACAATCTTTGCAAATACCGTTATACACCGCAAACAATGAGCAGCTTGGGAACCAAACAACTTCTGAGTCAGGGTGGATGGTGGGATTTGGGGGAGGTCACATCCGAGGTGTCTTCAAAGCACCAGGATCAAAGAGAATCTTCCCCCAAAAGGAAACACGGAATATACCTTTCCACACTCAACATGTTTTACCTTTGTGGGATCCATCAATTATCGAAACTGGCAATCCTGGATCCTGAACACCACCCCCATCTCCAGCATCCCCACTTGGACCACCCGCTTCTTCCCTTTGAAGTTCTTGGCAGCGCTGCCACCACCACCTCCACCCTTGGGCATTTTGGGGCCTCCGCTCGCCGGATGAGACCGAGCGGACCAAGAGCTCGCCGCTCTTATGGTGATCTTGAGCATTGACTTCACTGATGTACGAAAGATGCTTAAGATTCTATGACTGTGAAGAACAAACTGATCAGTTCCTCTCTTTAAGTTCCTCCTTATGAAACATGAAAAAAGGGAGGAACTTAAAGAAAGCACTATATGCCGCAAGATGTCGTAAGAATCACCTCCAATTTCCCAAAAGCCAGGGTTTGTCGGCAACCGGCAACCGGGTCTTGTTTTCTTGGCAGGGCCTGGCTCCATGTTCAACAAAAAGGACTCTGTCAATTTAGGGTGTAAATGCAAGATTCAATTCAATCATATTCAATCTCAACATTCTCAGGGTACTTGTCAATATGTATATTATAATTTCCATTAATTTCCTCAAACTGCCACTATCAAAGTACAGTAGTACAGTAATTGTATAGTTTTAGAGTTTAAGAGGGGTGGTTTTTGCACGTGAAAAACAAAGCTGGAAACATGGTCTGGAGATGTCTGGAGGTTTGGCGCCATATCTGCGATCACATAGGGATCACCATATAGTTTCCTGAGAACACCATTTTGGCGAAGCTGCCAATCTCTCAGCATGCACATCTCACCTCTCAAATCTGTCAAACTGATCCATCGGCACCAACCTTCTCATCCCCAAAATGCCAAGACTATGGACGCCCCAAACCTTCCCCGATGCGCACCTATCTCCCCCGGGGCACCTTTCTCGGCCTTCGTCTTGGGGACTGCAGGCTTGCTGGGCTTTTTGGCCTCAAGCAAACCCAAAACACCAGTGGTGGCAAGGTCTCTGTGCCCTATTCAACCCTTCCACCCGATACGCGCCACTACGGATACAAGACCGACCAAAAGAAATCAAAAAGGCCCAATCTCTAACTCCAAGGGATGCATGCATCCATCCGTGAAACATTGGATGTATTGTAGGTGACCACATGCACAAACTATACCTGTATACCAGGGGCAAAAGGCCCAATAAAACTCCCAAGTTGGGTAATGAACTATGATGAAACTGTTGGATCCACATCATCCAAGCGATCCAAGTGTGGTGCCACCCTCCCAAAGAACACATATGTTCGATCTGGCACTCCGGGTTGCTCCGGCAAATCGCTTGACCTGGTGACCTGGCGCTTGCTCCAAGTGACAACAGCTTTGGCCTTCGCTTCTTTGGCCTCCTTCTCCCTCTGAGCACCTCGAACAACACCACCATCCGTGGCATTGAACTACACAGAAGGTGAGAGGACAATTCGATGAAAACGTGGTTCCTGGGTCTTTTATAATCTTTTATCTGAGGCTTCTGCTTCACGATGAATCTGCGGTTTGTCTCATGATGAATACCTGTTGGTGTTCACCGGGTTTCATGCATTGGTGTTCACCGGGTTTTATGCTGAGTGGCAGGTTGGCCTCCCCTGAGGCTTCAGCGGAGCTCAGGTCGTTGGGCCTTCTTCTTCTTCAAGTCGTCCAGGGACATACCAACCTCAGGCGGATGGAATCAGCGCCTCTGCATGCATCCCTCAAGGTCTTTGTCTGAGAGCCGTGACGGACCGAAACGCTTTTTGCTTTGTGTGCATTTTCAGATGTTATCTCCGCGTAACACCCAAGCAGCTCTGCAGTGTCAGGTTCTTGCTCAAGAACATCAACATCAGTGATGGAGACCTGTTTTTGAATGCAATTCACCAATACTGGACACACACACATATATTGTATATATATATATACACAGTATATACACCAATTTTTTGTTGAGAGGATCACAATCCACAGAATTGAAATGACCTTGTTGCCTTTGTCCGGGTGACCAGGCAATTTGTCACGGCCTCTCAACAACACTACAGAACTGTTTTGGGTTTTTGGTGATTTGAACACCATGGGAGACTCACAAAATCGGAATCAAACCAGCAGCAACCCCGAGGGCACGTGTTCCACACGGAGCCCGGTCGGAGCTGTGAGCTGGTCTATAGCCACTAAAGTTTGTGGCGGCCACCACCAAACAAAATGAGATGAACGGCAAAACTGGCAAAACCAACCCCTTCTTCTATAATCATCAATGTGCATCCGTGGGGCCGCCCTGCTATTAATACTTTGTCTGGATGTGTGGAATTCGGAAAGTTTGTCGGAGCTCGGTCCGAACTGACGCCTTTTGGCACGGACCACGCCCTTTGCAATAACAACGTTGGGCGATGCTGGGCCTCATGATTCTAGGAGATCTTCGGCCATGCGAACAGCCATATGTAGGGCCTCCAAGGGTTCGACCTCCTGTCGACGGTCCAAGCAAAGGCTTTTGCCGCTGCCCGGGCTGCTGTGTGGGGAGCCCAACCGTTTGGTCCTTAGGGAGCGACACGAACACAAAAAACTTCACGACGTGATTCACGCGCATCAAGCATGGAGAAACAGCGCAGGCTCTTGGCAGGCCGCACACCCCGCCAGCCCACAAAACGTGTCAATGTCGACGCATTAATAACAAAAGACATGACTAATTTGCACAAAAAAAGGTGGGGTAAACTAATTGGGGAGTTTCTTTAAAGGCAGTCAGTGTTGCAGGAAACAGTTAGTTTTATTTTTGTTCAGTTTTATTCATGTGTTGACATAATTAGTCGCGTAGCATCAGAAAGTTACTGTATATTATATACTAATATACATATATGGTTCACGACTCGGTTCACGGCGTTTCTTGGAAAACTCTAGGTTGCAGCACCCTTGTGCCTCTGTGACAACGTTTGAACATTCTGCGGCTACTAGCGTATGGACCAAAAAGGTTTCAACAAAAAGGTTTCAACAAGTCCCATTCATTGGCCACATTGGAAGAACATGGACAACCCTCCACACTTCACTCCCGTTGCGCCCTGTTTCTTGCAATGGTAGACTAAAAAGGCCAAGCCGGCTTGCAAGCTGGCAGGCACTTGGGCCGTGAGGAGAGGGAGGGGCGGGGTTTTGCAAGAGCAGCTCTGCCACCTGTTCAGCTGTCAAAGCTTCCTTCAAGCTGCATGAAACAAAGTGAAAGACAACAAGGCAAGGGAGCAAGGAAAGAGCAGGGTTAGTCTGCTGCTGCAAGTGCAGCAGGCTAGCCTGACCAACGGGTTGAGTCCATCGCTCGGTCTGCCCGGACGGCGATGGGACCTCGACACTCCGACAAACACATCACATGGTTTCGTGATGTTTCGTGTGTTTACCTCCTCTGTTTGTCTTCGTCGTCTTTCAAGGGACTATGCTGTCCACTTCCATGGTGCGGTGAATCAGCAATGCGTGCGTAGGAGTTATCACCATGGAGTGATCGGGGTGGCGGTGGAGTTTTCTCTTTTGAACTTCTTCGGGAACCAGTGGAGCAAGTGTTCTAGGTCGCGTGTCCTGGCTCAACAACCTCCCTGCAGGTCAAGGCGAACAAGCTATGTCAAAAAGATGGCCAACAGGTTCCACATGCTTCCACTTACACACTAAGCACCTCCTCGCAAATATGCAATCTCTTCCGCAAACAGAACCCTGACGCATGGGAATTGGATTGATGATTGACGTTCTCCCCCCAAATCGATAGATCGGGGCGCTTGAGCAATGAAGCGCTGGGTGGTTCCAGGTTCAATGCATTGAGGCTCCGTGGGGATCGGAGCACCGGCCAAGTCCTGCGCTCCCGACTCTGACGGAGCTCAGATCCGGGGCATGTGAAGGATGTGACTTGAGGGTTGGCTGACTGAGGCCAAGATCCACTATACAGTCTACTGCAGAAGTATTGCTTCCCAAAAGGATGGATTTTTTGCCTGAGATGAAGCTGTTCAAGGTTTTTCATTGCACATCTTGAAAGTGGGATGTCCTCTGGTCTGGTCCCATGTAATTACTCCTAAAAGGAAGTCTCGAGAGTGGTGTAACAGCATGCCCAATCCTTTTAAGCATCCTGGCTATCTGGCTATCCCATCGAATTGTCCACCTTCCCCACCCAATACCACACCTTCCACCCCGAACCGGCCCGAACCTCTGGGAATCTGATGGAAACTGCATGCCAGACATGGCGATGGGATCTACTGTGGCCGGTTCGAAGTTCTACACTTCACAGCCAAAACGGCTCGAATGCGATGCACACGAGTGAATGCAAAGCCACCAGTTCTTGTGAGCGAATGAGAATCTAAACGGGGCCAACACCTAATCTACAACTGCATGATGCTGCATGGACCAATAACGTCTGGTCTGGGTCATGGATCAAAACCCCTTTCCAATCCTCACACCGGCGCGCGCCTGTTTTAGCAAAACATAGCAAAACCAACGAGCCAAACCTCCCAGCTGAGCTCATCGCAATGGCCTTTTGGAACTTTTGCGCTTTGCGAGCCTTCTTCTTGCCACCCTCCTCTACCTTTCGGGTCTTCTCTCTCTCCCCAGGTTGTGAGGTGTAAAACGCTTCCACTCATGGGAAACCGAACCAAGATCACTTCATGAATCTTCATGGCAAACCGAACAGCTCGTTCTGCGAAGCAAAACCAGTGGGCCACACCCTGCACCTGGCTTTTGATCTGAGAACCATGCTTTTGAGTATTTTGGCCACCTCCAAGGCACTGGTGGGACAACTGGGTTGACAAAAGGGACATCCATTTGGTACTAGGCCCAGGCTACCAAAGAAACAGCGGTTGTTATTCCAAAGGTCGAATCTGAGAGCGTACCAATTTCCCTCGACCATTGGCTCACAACCCAACCAGCCGTACTTCTGTATTATGACGCAATTCACCAGACAAGTCCTTCGAACGCAAGAATGACAAAACAAACATCAATAATGGCAAAAAAGAGACACTCAAAACAAAGCAAAAAGGAAACAACTTGACACTCAAGAGAAAAAACACATCGAGATGGATTGTATTTTGCTGTTTCATTTGTTTCTTCTTTGAGCCTGGATTTGTGTATTTGTTGCGTTTGGATGTGTTTTTTTTATGGCTATTTTACTAAACAAATAAACACATCCAGACTCAAAGAACAAACAAGCTCGATTTGTTTTTCCTTGAATCAATGTGTTTATCTGTTTAATCTTGAGTCTGGTTCTGAGTCCTCCTTTCTGGTTGAGTCTTCTGCTGAGCCTTGTTTTGCATCATTTTTGATTATTTATTTTATATTTATTTATTATGTCAAGATAAGATATGAGCTCTCTTGGAAATCGTGATCTCAAGGCCAGTAATGTTAGATTAGTTGTTGGCAGGTAGGAAATATTTCTTCAACAAGAAGGAGAGGTTGACCCGCCCCTATTATAAGGATTTCACATTACTACAGTATCATGGATAATTGTTCTATGTCCTCTTCCCTTCCAACCTTTGGAGTGTTCCACCTGCCCCAACCGCATACCAAAGCTAGGCAGCCAACAACCTGGTGACCGATTTGATCAAAAATGCAACAAACTTCAAACAAACTAATTAGGGAGGGTATCAGAATAGTTCAATGGGGTGACAGTTTCATGTTTTTGCAACTTTCTACCCCAAACAGGCAAAGTGTTGAATCGAATCCATTAAAAAATATCCAGTGACCGAACTGGCGATGATTGGCATGATTTTGGCAACCGAGGGCGTCACTCCTGGTTCATCGTAGAGCCGCTCGCTTGGTCACAGCGTGCTCCAAACAAGCCGACTTGGAATTCTAATGGGGTGCCGCACAAACCTCCTGAAACAAAAAGTTGTCATGTATCTACAAATCATGCATACACTTGCCGCAACTGATGGATTCGGATACCACACGGCTTTCCTCCAAATACTGCATCTGGCATCCACCAAGCGAAGCAAACGGTCCGGTCGCCGTATCGGCCTTACCCTTCTTGTTCATTCTTCGCCAAGCCTGCCATGGTCCACAATTCTACAATCGACGGCACCAGGAAAGTCAGGTGTAACTACGGGTGCAATATCTGATCCCTTCGAATCCTTGAAAACAGGACATGATCGCTATGCGGAATGTAATATACAGTGAGTAAACAAGATTTAATCAGATTGATCACCATACAAACAAAATCAAACAAGTATACAACATATGAGCACCCTGTTTCTATGGCGTTGAGATATCAATCTCCACAGCAGCCGAATCGACCGGGCCCTCGGACCTGCGTCCAGCGCAGCTTCACGGGCTTGATGCGCTGGTGGAAGAGGGAGTCGGCCTTGGCGTTGATGAAAAAGCTCACCTGGCGGTCGAGATGAGGAAATCAACTGTCTGGTGAACAAAGGTTTGGTGAAAAAGGTTTGGCAGGTCTGCCGGAGGTTCAAAGGTTGTAGACGTGTATTGTGCTTGGAAAGCAGTGCAAAAAGGACCATGGAGATGGAACACTAAGATTCCCAAGGTCTACTTTACCTAGTTTCCTTTGCCTCACCGCCGGTTTCGTCACAGTAGATGTTGGCTTGATTGAGTGGTAAACCTCCGTGCAGGTGAAGACTGAACAGGTGGAGAAACGAATCATCCTTGATCCCAGGTCGACCATGCCTAACTGGAGATAAAATTTGTATAATATATATATATATGTATAATATGCTGGGTACACCGGTTGGATAATGATACATGAACTGGAACCCCTGGAAAGGTGACCGAAAGCAGTCTTGGGATCTTTCATGATCTTTCTAAGATTTTCCTCGGCCGCCACCTCATCAGGTACGGAGAGTCGGTCTCGCAGAATGGGCCACAGAACAGGAAAGTCGCCAGAATAACTGAACTTCCAGGAAAGTAGGGGCCATATAGACCATCTTGTTGCACCTTCTACAAAGCCTCGCCCAATGTCTATTGTCTGAAAAAGGGTGGAACAAAAGGAAACATGATCCCCAATGGGCCCCGAATCTTTTTACCGTGCGTGTGGCCACCAGAATGGGTCCATCGTGGCGTGTGACGCCTTGGCATCCTTGGCCACGAACTTCTGTCCATGACCGGGATATATGCCTTAGGCAACAAGCTGGACGAAACCAACATAATCCTGAATAATAGACGGCAAATCTAGGATTCATTGAAACAATGCCACTTCAGTGGGCTGATAGAAATATTTGACCCTGCTATCCTGAAGCCAAACATTAGCTCTTGAGGTTTCTGAAACCCTGCATTCTGATCTGATGTAGAATACACCAAGCATGATCTACTTCTGCCAGCTCCATCTTGACATGCTGGGTCTCCGTGCGGTACTCTGTGTAGCTACAAAGGTCCGTCTTGATCACCATGGCGAGCCGCGCGCCCGAACGCGCACCGCACCGTGCGGTGCGCCGGTGCGCCCGGTGTTGTAACGGGAGGCGGCGCTTTTCTTCTCTGAGCCCCTGCGCTGTCGGTGTAGCGCCTTTTGTGACGCGGAGAACCAATCCAGGTGACATGGAGTTGAGCTCCACTGAGATCAGCTGAGACCAATTCGAGGAGCTGAGATCAGCTGCTCCGAGCAGCCCCGTCCTTTGACAAAATCTATCCTCCTCATGCAAAAGGGATGAGCAAGGTTTGTGATAATATTGGGTAGTCCTGCAAGTCTCTGATGTTTTTGTACGTTAGCTTGTCGGGGATCATGCAAGCAACAAGCTTGCAAAGTTAGCGATTCTTGTCCAGTATCCAAAAAAAACAAAAATTACATTCCGCTTGCCGAAATAAAATGATCTTGAAGCAACCCGCATCCAATGTTCAGCAAATTGTTTTGCACTCCATCAAATTTAATTTCTGTATGTGAGATTTTTTTTTGAACTGGGGCTTTGGGTGTTGCAGGAGTACAGTAGGTAGGCGGTGGTGGTGTCAAAAGGTTGGCAAAAAAACAACAACAATTGGTGTCGCAAACCCCGGATAACCCACTACCCTTTTCCGGACATGTTCACCTACACACTTAAGTCTCAATCTTCCACAAAGTTCTGCAATGTTTCAGGCACCCCTTGGGCAATGGAAGTGTATGGCATGGTACGTAGGGATTCTCTACACCAGGACATGTCAAGTGACACGGTGTGCATGAATTTGTGCGATATGTGGTATCTTGCATAATCTGCGTTAATCTGTTAAATATGGAAGGAAGGGTGAACGATTCCTCTCTACGTAAGCGAGGCCTGGTGGCCAGTAGTAGTAGTAATAATAGTAGAAGTAGTAGTAGTAGTAGCAGCAGCAGGAGTAGTAGTAGTAGTAGCAGTAGCAGTAGTAGCAGTAGGAGTAGTAGTAGTAGCAGTAGTAGTAGTAGTAGCAGTAGTAGTAGTAGTTGTGGTGGTGGTGGCAGTGGTGGCAGTGGTGGTAGTGATCCCATGAACGGCTTCAAGCCGGCTGGGAATCAGTGTAAAAACACTTGGAATCCAAGGATTCAGCACTAGGCTGAACTGGGCATCCAAACCAGGTCTCGATCTCAGTCTCATCCAAACTGAACTCGTAGCCTCAAAGAAAGGCAGAATAGCCGAGGCAACCCCGGGAAATGGTCTTCACAGGTCACAAGCCTTAGGGTCCATATTCGTCTGCGGGGTGAAGGGGGGAAAATGTGGCAGCAGGCGGCCAAATTTTAGATCAAAAAGCACTCTTGGGGAACGTATGTTTCACACTGGGGCATACATTCAAAGCGCTGTTAAATCCTCTTTAGGGACTCTGCGGGCTCACACCCATCATATCCTTTACAGGGCCCGGGCAATCGTCTTCTTGCAAAGCTGCAGCCGACTCCGCGAAGCCTGCAAGTGTTGTGCTTGGAAGACCATTGTCGTAGGGGAAGGGTGAAATCTCTTAAGAATTTAACGTCAGCTCGTGGATGCAAACTGTATGCAAAACACATGAAATACCAGCTCCATTGGTTAAAAAAACGTATTACACCTTACACGCAAAAAATGATAGACAAGCGCCTAGCAAACAAGTGAAGGGTCAACACCAAAATCAAGGATATCCAACAACCAGGCTAAACCATGTTGACTGCGTGGGTTCGGCAAAAGAGTAACGAGCAAAAGAACTTGAACAAATAGAGCGTGCATCGAGAAGACTTGGAACAAACAAACAAACACAAACTATGCCTTTATGAGACTACCAGATCCTTATTTCCTGCAAATTATCATCGCTAAGTCTCACATAGTTCAAAGTGAACTCAGTTTTCCATATCCCTTATTGAGTCTTCCTTGAGGAAAACGTGACGCCTAATAAGAAGGCTCATTAGGGAATGATACACCTTACTAGGCCTTATTGGTTTTCAACATGTGCGCTATGTCATGTGCATCTTTCAGCTGCCAATCTCTCAAGTCCAATTGATACTTTCCATTTTGCCTTCCCCCTTTTGCCCTCCCCCTTGAGTGACCCTATGAACAAATAATGTCGGGTCCTAATTAGTCAAGTGGGACGGAATAATAACAAGTTTTCCCAATTTTATTCAGACCCCTGAATAGTTTTAGGGGGACGGAATAATAAAAAGTTTTTTGCCCAGGGAGTTTTGTTTTGTTTATCTTATCTATTGGTTTAATTAGACCACTACCACCACCACCAGCTGGAACAATCCTGTCACCACCACCTCCTCTACTCCATCTCTTTGGTTTCTTGGCCACCTAGCAGGTGGAACTCAATAGTATGAATTGTTTAGGGGGTCGGATTAATATCCAAACTTGGAGCCCTCAGTGGGGAAAAGGCTTACTTTTCTATTGTTCTGCTATTGCTGGCCTTTCAAACCTTTATTCAACTCTGAGGTTTGCTTGAATCATGGAACTCTGACCTGGAAACCTTTTTCAAAATCCCTTATTAAAGCTCATCGATTTCATTGCTCCAAACAAATTTTCAAGGGAGTAGTACACAAGCCCAGGGGAACTCAATAGTATGAATTGTTTAGGGGGTCGGATTAATGTCCAAACTTGGAGCCCTCAGTGGGGAAAACGCTTACTTTTCTATTGTTCTGCTATTGCTGGCCTTTCAACCCTTTACTACTACTACTACTGCTACTACTACTACTACAACTACTACTACAACAACAACTACTACTACTACTACCACTACCACCACTACTACTACTACTACTACGACTATTACTACTACTACTACTACTTTTACTTTTGGCTGTCTCATTCTATTGAGACCCCCTCCATTGTTTGCTAGGGGTGGGCGAGGGTCCTTTTACTAATTAGGACCCAACATTAGTTCAACCATGTTCAACCAACCAGATATATAGTATTTGTGAAGCATTTTCAGTACAAGCCACAGTAGAAATATGTAGCAATACTGACATCATAAAGTGTACAGTTTGCTTGTACCTGCAGCCATACTGGAGCCCGTTTTGATCAAGAAAAGATTCGCATGGTAGCGGAGCAAGGATAAGGGTAACCGGCTTGGAGCTCCAGAGAGAAGAGCCCCTAGGTCACTGGGATCCCGGGTGCGATTTCGAGCCATAGATTTGAGGCCTTTGGAGCCCAAACAGCTGGACTGGTGAGAAATTGTTGTGAGCGACACTCTGTACCCCGTACGTTGTGTCAGAAAGACATTAGTACAGATTGGAGATGGATGCAGTTATAGCACAGAGACTAGCACAGAGTACGCAACCAACAACACCAGCAGCTGAGGCAGTGAGAAAGCAAAAGTCATCAACAACAGGTTGGTCAAAATTGATAGCAAAGCCATCTTTCACTATAAGTCACAAGAAGAAGAGATCAAGGCATTTAGAGAATGGTCATGGGTATTTGAGAAGTATATATTTGAGTGCAGTTGACGAGGGCTACATGAAGGACCTGAAGAAAATTCATGAGAAGCCAGTGGCAGCCAGAGGATAAGTTTGACATGGACCTGGCAACTGAGGCAGAGAAGACCAGGTGCATCAAGCTCTATGGATTGTTAGCTTCATTGATGAGGGGAAAAGCACTGCAATTGGCGAAAGCTGTGGAAGACTCCCATGGATTTGATGCCTGCAGGAGTTTGAACAAAGCTTTGAAGCCAACTTCAAAGGCTAGAGGAGTAGCACTTTTGGGAGCAGCCACTACATGGCCAGCATGTTCAATGAACAGTGTACTACAACCTCAACTTCTAAAGCTTGAAGAAGTATTTGATGAGACGGTCAAGTCAGGGGTGACTATTCAGGACGAGTTGAAATCTGCTATTCTTTTGAGATGTGTAGGTGGACAGCTCAAATCCTACTTGAATTTGACAATTGGCGACAATGCTCAATACTCAACTTTGAGGGAACAAGTGTTGCAATGGGATCGTTCGCAACAAAAGTGGGCTACTTCCATGGTGGCAAGTAGCAGTACAAATTATCAAGGACCCATGCCAATGGACATTGATCGAGTCCAAGATACCAAAGAAAAAGGTAAGAAGGTAAGAAAGGCAAGAATGACTATCAAAAGGGCAAAGGTAAAAATGCCAAGGGCAAACGAAAGAAAGGACAAGGAGATCAGAAAGGAAAGGAAGGTGATCACAAGGGCAAAGGAAAAGGAAAGACCAGAAAGGCAAAGGTGTGGCAACATTGTACACTTGTGGAAAGCCAGGACATATTGCTAAAGACTGTTGGAGGAACAATATTCGACAGGTAGCATGATCCAGCCCATTCATCTTCAGGAGGAGCGTCAGTGACTACTCTTATTACAGTTGGTCAACAACATGCAAATGCTAGCCAACAGGGTAGCTCAGCAAAGACCAAACCAGTGGTCACGAGAATAGAGAATAGTGAGCCAATATGAGCCAATCATCTTTGACTTGCGAGAAAGGGATGAGCTAGAAGATCATGGAATTCGAGTGATGCACTTCTACATTGAAGAAATGCACCCACCAACTCACCAACATCCACAAGCCGAGCTCCACACGGACCACATAGTGGGTCACTGGAGCCTGGCCGTCGCGTGGAGGTCACGTCGCGCGGGTCTACCCGGTCGGCACAGCACCGAGCGCCACGTGGCGCCCAGCGAGTGGTATCGCTTCTAGCAAGGACGCGACTAGTAGCGATGCACTTGCTAGTAAGTAGCTTAAAGATGCTTAAAGGATACAGTGTGTTTTTATGTGTTTTTGTTGCTTCCAGAGGATCTGGAGGCAAAAATGGTCAAAAAGTCGGTCTCTCAGCAGAAAGTGGACCCAGAATTACCACTGCCAGCATACCTATTCCTCCAGCTCCCTCACATTCCGAAGCAATCTGTGGGCCTTGTGTCTGCCAACTGCCTACTACGGTGGCAATTGGGCAATGTTAGTAGAGTTTTGAGTATTCAGTGACTTCAGGACTTCCAGTGTCTTCAGCAAGCCAGTTGCGCATGATTGATTGGTTGTTATCGGTTGTTAAATCTGGGTATGACGTATGACCCGTCGTTTTCATTCGTTTTCACATCAATGGTTCCATGTGGTTCCTAAAGAGCGCCCAGCTGACGATATCG